TACATAGAATTTGATAAGGAATCTAAAATATCTGTAATATTGGGAAGTGGAAATTTATCATCTTGAATTCTATTATTTAATTGCCTATAGTCAACGACGAACCTATACTTCTTTTCTTTATTTTTGTCGGTCTTTTTCGGAACAAGCAAGACGGGACTAGACCACTCTGAGGTGGATTCCTCAATAATATCGTTGTCTAACATATCCTGTATTTGTTTACGCAACTCTGGTTTTAAAGAGTGTGGTATTCTGTAGGGTTTTATATAAACAGGAGTCGCATTATCCTTTAAAGTAATTTTATGCTCCATTAAATTAGTGACTGACAGTTTATCACCTGGGAAATGAAAAACGTCCGCGTACTTAGCGCAAATAGACTCAATGCTAAGTCGTTCATCTTTGTTTAAATAAACTAGGTTAAGAAGTTCAAATAATGTTTTTACACGATTTACTGAAATTTCCCTTTCCGAAAAATTACAAACATCGAAATGATGCAAACTATGTACTTCTAAATGAGAGAAATCATAAATTAGGTCATTTTCCGTCGTATTTAATATTCTAATCGGGATTAGCCCGTTTCTAGGCCTCGACAAAACACCTGCAATAAATACTCCCTCTCTTATTTCATTCGCAAGGACGACACAATCGTCGGTTATATTCGTAGGTATGAACTTAATAGTTTCACACCTCGCAGGTATGTTGTGTTTACACCTGTTATTTATACACATACTTATCGATTTAGACGACTGAGTTAGGCTTAAAATGCCTTTACCATAATCAATTAACGCTAAATATTGTTTTAAAAAGTTATCACCTATTATTCCATCTGCAGAGCATGACAGGTTCTTAAATACGTAAAATTTATGTCTAAAAGTCATACTGTTACTACTTAATTCTAAATAAATGTAACCTTCTGATATTAACCTACCGCTAACACCTCTAATAGTTAATCTTTCGGGAACAATTTTATTTTTCAAATCACTAAATACCTTAGCTAAATATTCATACTTAATTACACATAAACTGGCACCAGTGTCTATTAATAAATGTGTTACCCTATCTCCTAAACTAAAAGCTACCGTACTCGAAGTATTATAATTGAGAACTACATGCTCTGTTTTCGTTTGAGGAACGAAAAAACTGACTCTCACTCATGGTTGAGGTTGGAGCTCGAGGCTGCCTTACCTCAGTGTCGCAGTACGTATGGTGGACACGGGAATAGCCTCGTGTACGGGGCTGATACTGCGCGCCTGGCGTTGACCAGCGCGCGCCCGGGGAGGGTGCACCTCGACCTCGAGCGGAACCACGTTGCGGCACAAACGTGCGCGGCGCGCTCACATTATGCGACTGGATCGGGTTACCGTATTGAGCACGCGAGTTACTATAATAATTATTGCCAATATTTCTACCGCGGAACCCTTTATTAATAAAATGAAATGTTTTCGTGGACTTAGGGTGGTGACGAAAATTCATAACTTGTTCCCCACTGGTAGAAAGCGTCTGCTCGTCTATAGCACTACGGATTACCTCAGGAAGAGAAAGAAATTCCTTTGATGCAATAATAATACTCAATCTAGAGTTTGCCAAACCATCGGCAAAGCGTTTTATAGCGATCTTTTCATTAATTGGTCGCAATACGTCATATTTTGAACTATCGCCATCGGCCTCTGCTAATGTCAAATTAGAGAAGATATCTTCTAGTTCATTACCGAATGCTTCTATTGACCTATTTCCCTGTTTTACATTTTGTAACCGAGACTGAAGAGCGACTGCCGATTTTTTTTGTACTAAATACTTTTTCATGTCACTGAGCAATGAACCAACTGTTGTATAGCTACCGCGTAAGCGAAGTTTCACGCTAGGAGATAATCTTGTTTTTAATACAAAATCTATAAGTGAATTTTTCGATGTCTCATCAAGTTTAGAACTATACATTTCTATACCGTCGATTAATTGTTTGGTGACATGTTCCTGACCAGTCATTATGGGAAGTAAACTAATTGCCGTTTTAAAGTCAAAGGACATTGTATCTGCCATTTTTACAGTTTTAGAACTATCGGGATCTCTAGTTGCAAAAGTAACTAATTTATTTATTTCACTATAAATTAAATGAATATTATTTACTACAGAATTAACTTTAATAAGATCTTCGGCACTTATCTCGGAATTATTAATATTAGCTTTAATTTCACACAAAATATACTCTAGTTGCAAATAAATGACATTGGCTTCTTTTAATTTAGTTTGACCGATTTCTTTCTTTCTACGTTCAGGGCCTATTTTACTTAAATATACTTTTATTTCCTGTAACTTACTATATAATTCAACTAATTTATGAGACATAACTATCTATTACTTCTAATTTAATAAAATAACTCATAATTGAATTCTAGAAATAGCAGCTAAATTGTACCTATATATATTTTCTTCCAATTCACTTGCTGACGTCACGAGCTGCGGCGGGCGGCGTTCTTGTGGCGGTCACGTTCTGCTGACATCAAACAACGTGGCCCGTGCTGCTATTCCTGTTGACGGCCGGGACGGGGACTTAGTAATTTGATGGTCTTGCTTGCATTTCCAAGGTGCTGTGGTTGAGCTCCCTTCTCAACGAAAGAATAGCATTTCTTCGGCACTTCTTGTACAATAGGTATGCGGCAGCGACGAACAGAATGACGAATAGCGTGATGAGCAGGATCTCGGTAAGGTTCAACTTGGTCTCCGTTACTTGAGCGCTTTGTTTGCTTTGCGCCGGTGTTTTGAGCGATGATAATTTCTTCTTTGGACTGTGAGCTGCGGCACATTGTTATTGGTAATTGGCGATGATGGTGATCTCTAATGATAAATGTTGCAAAGGTAAACCACATATAAGAGTACGGCCAAAAATATAATAGTAATTGCTACGATTGCCCCAAAAATAAGATTCTTCATAATAATTTTCAATCTTCAAACTTCTTCTTACTTGACGTTCAGTTCAGTTTCGATATCTTCTTTCTTCAATTTATTTCTATAATTTTTCTTCCAAATTTCGCAGGGTCGCCATGTGGTATGTTGGGTGATAGCGGCAGGTTATAATAAATACAAAGACGTAAATAGGTTGGTGTCCATTTATTGAAGAAGAAGGCTTAATGGTACAAAACATACTTATTTATAATATTAGTGCACTACGTAGTTACACACACACTTATAAAATATAACACACAATATTATTACAAAACATCAGCATTTCACGTGGCCTACTTTCGTGTCATTCAATGTTGCGTTGTATTATTAATACATATTTATTAAATTATTTTCATACTATCACACAACCAACCGCTCTCCAGGCACCACATGTCTAAGAGTCTTGAAAAATCTTATTGATTGAATACAACAAGTTCCTAATAGGATTAATCACAAACAATGGCTTTATAGCCCTACAAAGTTACAAAATTAAAATGACTCTAAATACCTACTTATATCTATTTTATACCTAATTACCATATCTTATTTTCTCGGGCAAGTTAAAACAGACAAAATAAAACCTTTCTTTATCGAACTTATAACTATAACTAACTTATCATTGAACAAAATCTATAACTAACTTTTCGCCTTAATTGCGCCTAAAATACTATTCTAACCTATACAGAACTTTATTATATCTGTTCCTAAGACTATCTATCATCTAATAAAACATAAGAAATAACAATAAAAACATATTAAATCAATATTTTAGAATGCGCACAATATGAACATAATACTTATAAGATTGGTTAGAAACAGACAGAATCTTTGGCTATCGTTGCCAACTATCAATTTGCAACTAGTTTCTCAGCGCCACCGCTTGGCGCCGTGGCAATCGTTTACAGAGATTTCTTATTCTTTTTTTCCTCTTTTATTATAAAACTATGACTAATTCTAACAAAATGATAATGAAATCTTATATAAATGAGTTAGGACTAACCAATCCATGTGAGATTATACTTATAGATAGATATTTTCATAGTTCATAACTCAGGCTCTTTAGACGTCTCACTATGCACGTAAAATTTATTTCTTGTTAAGTGTTGATAAATCGGGCATCTCGAAACAGAAACAGAAGAAACAGAAATACCGAAATATGAACTTTTTTTGAAAAAGACAATTTAATAAAACAGCGGAGTGCAATTTTTGTAAAGAATAATTTTCAATAAAATAACGATAGCAAATTTAAAAAACCTTAACCAAAATTTAATTTCTGAACATGCAAAAAACAAAGATGCCTTAAAGGCTTATAAGGTTTTAAAGCTTAAATGACACATAGCAAAGCTATTTCTTGTAACGAAACGTCTCATTTACCAAATATGTAAGTCTAAAAAGCATTTAGGCTTTTAAGGCAACGTTATTTTATAAGTTCAACTTATTAAACGTTGTGAGTTTTAAGCAGTTAAAACTCCGGGCCAGGAAACCAAACTTAATGTCGGGGGTTTATAGATGAAAAATCTGTAATAATTATTAGAATAATTATAAACAAATTTTTATTCCAAAAATAAAATAAGAAATTAAAATCGGTAATTACTTTAAAAAAAAAATATTAATCGATTTTTTTCAATAATCGATTATTGTTTCACGTCCCCAATAGAATCCAATCAAGTCAGTGTTGAATTGATAAAGAGGCTTTTTTGGCGGGATTTCATCGAGTGCGGTTGGCGTCTTATTTTAATTATTCTTAAATTCGTTCATAGTGGATATTGTGAAATAAAATTGGTGTGGTTTTGTGTAACAACTGTCTGCATAACTGAAGAATTAGCGGAATCATTAAAATATACGCTATTCCGGTCAAGTGGACGTGAGAATTTTATTGTAGTGTTGACTACCTCACAGAAGCTTATCGAAAAAGCCAACTCGATACATTTCGTGCCAAACACTCCAAGAAACATTAGAATGCGTCACACCGACATTCTAATGTAAAAATAAAAAGAAGATAAATTTAATTAAAGAATAGGCTGTATGGGCATTGTTCCCTTTGCCTTCCGAAAACGGGAGAACTTCAACAAAAAAAAAATTAATTGATAAACATAAAATTTATTATTTTATTTTATTACAAAAGTACATAATCGCGTAGTTAGTCTTATTGAAAATCATGTCTGCAGCAAACGCAGCTCCTATCACAGCTACAGATAGTTTATCACAAGCGTTAAAAGCTAATATTATACCAAACCAAGAGTACTTGCTACAGGTGAAATTAATTTTGCACGGACCTTGCTACTGTTTCTATTTTACTTTTTTGCGAATATTCAACAGCAAATTTTTGTTTAGGGGTCGGTGTTGGATTCAGCTGTTGAAGTATTGCTTCACCGGCTTCGTGGACTTTGTGATAATGTCGATGCTGGTCCGGAGACATTTGATGACCAAGAAGTTTGTTTTAGCCTAAGAGATCCAATTCAACAGGTTAGCTGAGAAAGTTTAGTTGTATTATTAAAAGTTGTCGACTTGACAGTTATAAAAAAAAAAATTAAATTGAAATATTTTTTTATGAACGTATAAAGTTTGTCATTTGACACTAATATGTTATTAGAACTAAAATCTGGTCATTGCCTCGTGTTTCAGACAGCACCACTTATGTTACGGGTTCGAAAAGCACTTGATGCCAGAGATATGCCTTATCAGCTTCGTTACATAGGCCAGCCAGATCTGGGTGACAAGAATAGACCCACAGTAGTTCGCTCCAGCCTGGACATTGCCTGTAGTGGAATGCTGATTGAATTTTTGAATGAACTTGGGTGTAGGATAGAGTTTGAATACAGTGTTAAAGGTACACACATATTATATTTGCAAATGTTATTCTTTAGTATTGTATAGAACTGTAGATTTCCACAGTTTCTAAATATGATTTTATATTAATATTTATCATGTTCAAATGCTGGCAAACCAGCATATAGTAAGCAGCAACCATTCCTATTACAGATACTTGCTATATCAGAGTATTAGCCCTATTTTGTCTAACTTCTAAAAGGTTTTTACTTTCTTACTGACAAAAACAACACTTCTATAAAATCTGAGTGTAAATGTTATTTTAGTGTTGACTACTGTAAAGTGGGATGGCATCCTTTGGTGCTCTTATTCAAGCAAAAAACTGCAATGCTCAATTATGCGGGATTGTAAACTGTCAATAGACTAAACAGATATTAAAATATATGTTAAGTCTGTTTAAATATAAATTAAATTACCATGTGTTGCTGTCAGTTTGAAGTCAATATCCATTACTTAAATAAAAAACTGACCTGCCCAAAACCAAAGTAAAAAATTCAAAAAAGTCATTTCAGCTACTAGACTGTTTTGCTTAACACTTTTTTATCTGGGAGGTGACACTGGTATTTGTTTTTTGGTAGAAAAGTTACTTCTATGTTAAAGGTTATTGTTTCACAAAAACACCAAAACTGTTGTCCTATTTATTAAGGTGTTGTAGTGAAAGATGAAATGTTTCTTTTGCACCCTAACTATAAGTAAAAAGTAATTATATTTATATACTTTATATAGTTTCGAAATGTGTTCATCTTGATGTGATGTTGATAGGCAAATGGCACTATACTTCTTGCTGATATTTTCAATAAATTTATAGCTGTGATGATATAAGGATTCTCTAGATAGGTACCATTCAGGTGCAACAAAATAACTTAATTTCAGTTTTCATTTAATGTTAATTTTTAAGCAGCACCAAAGTGGTGTAAAAATAATTTTGTTTCTCCACTGTCAATACGACTCTTAAAATAATTACACTTTGTTTTTTGTCTGTTTGGTTTAAAAGTAAAGGGTTTTTCTTACCTTAGCTGGGAGTTTTACAAACATACTTTTACGGTACCTAAACTAAACAATTGTAAATTTTATTATTTTTGGTAAACTTCAGCTACATAAATCTATGCTTTGGTACAAAGTACTGACAGGCTTGGGAGTGCTGTTAATAAATGCATTAGATTTGTAATTTGGTCTTGAGATAAATTTGTATGATGCGGTGTTTTTCTGGGTGTTATAAATTGTGTATATAAAATTTACTCAGTGATTCGGAAGAATCAATATTACCATGGAAAATTTTAAGTAAGAACATATATCTGCAATTTCCCATCTTTTATCCAATAGTAGAAAATAGATCTTTCTTAGTGTCCATTCAAAATTCGCCTAGCTATAGTTTTCAAATATTATATAGATAGAATATAAAGTAAAAGTCTTTACTTTCTTAATATTTAAATGTTTTTTTTATGCTTTCAGGTTACATGTTTAGAAAAGGCAGAATGAAGATTACTGTTGCAAAAGTATTCAAAATATCACAGAGTTCTATGCCACCAGAACCTATATCACAAAGCTATTTAGTTGAATTATCTGTAAGTTGACTTTCTTTTATGCTTTTTTTTTTTTTAAAGTAAGACAGCTATGTCTACCAGAATCAACCAAGTATAAATAAAAAATAAATACTTCTCAGCATCCAGAGTAAACACCCTAAAGGGTGAGGAAGGGATCAAACCTTTTACTCAGATATAAAAAAATTGGCACTGTGAGTTATCAGGATATTATTGAAATGAATGTAAGAGATAGAAATGAAAAATAGGTAAAGAAATCCATGACTCAGTTACAAATACTTATATTCATCATTCAAACTTCCCCTTACGGATATTCAAACCCCTACATTTTGGAAACCTGTGTTCATATGATATACATTGCCATAGCTAGGGATATTTTCTAGTGGGGGGCCCCACTAGGTTCTAGGTTGAGCATTGCCCACCGTTGCCCCCATAGTCACGGTCATGCTCAAAAATATTTACATAAACTCTTTTTGCTTAACTGCCACTTCAGTTACTTTACAGAATCGCCAATCAGTATTTTTTTTTTAACAAACAATCAAAACTCCTTAAAAATGATAAGTAGGGCCATGAAAACGAATTAGTAGTCGCTTAAGCGGAAATCACTAGGCCTGCCATACACTTCTAGTCCAACAAATATCATATCATACGCTAAATAGTAGGTGACATTGGTTCAAAAAACACTGAAATTTACGTCGCTTCACGGCTTCACCGCTATGCGCTATACGCGTCGTTTAATGCTTAATAAACAGATTGACGCAAAAAAAGGTGATTACAATCTATATACATACTTATAATAAAATGGTAGGAAAGTCAAAACTGTACATTGAATATTTTTTTAAAAGAATACTTGGGGCGTGATCTACAATCGATACCAAAGCCAAAAATATAGTTTTTAGAATTTTTGTCTGTTTGTTTGTATCTACTTCAAATTTGACACGAATATTATTAAGTCGGGTCAACATATCGGCTACATATTATCACGCTATCACCTACGGGGAACGACCAGTGAACCTTTATTTCTAACTAACTTCACGCGTACGAAGTCGCGGGAGGCCGCTAGTGTTACATAAACCTCATTTTCGACCAAAGGTTAAGCGATTTTGCTTTTCCACTGTCAGTATGATTCTAAACTAAGGAAATATATTTATTTTCAGGTTCTGGCACCACAAGGCCAAGATGCTATTGGTGAAGATATGCGAGCATTCGCCGATCAACTACGTCCATTGGTTCAACTTGATAAAATAGACTATAAACGGCTCGGTCACATGGCCGTAACATAGCCTTTATTCTTAACTTAGGCTGTGTTCATATTGCAATATTTTTATGATATGAAGACATCCTTAGTTTATACAGAATCTACGTAAGTGAATTATGATTGGTTTTACCTATAAGAAATACGTATTTAAATTATGTGTGTGTGTATAAATAATAACAATAGTAATTAATTTATCATATTGTATTGATACTAGTGATATTAGGGAGTACGATATGTTGGTTCCCCAAATAACGCTTACTGTAATTATTATTTGGAATGATAATTTTGTACAACACAAATAATAAAGAATGCACATAACTATTCCATAAATTTTCTTTAATTTTACAAGTTTTGTAGGTGCCTTATTTCCGTAGTATGATATTTTGTTCAATAGTTGACAAAGTCGGGATTCTTCTTGGAGTGTTTTACTATAATGTGATCTTCTCCATAATCTACGTCTTCATATTTATGTCCATGCACGTAGCCAAAGTTACCGAAATAAATGCAATGTTCATATTTCATTGGGACAAAATCTGAAAAGAAAGTTATGATGTTTAATCTTATCTCCAAATATTTTAAACTAGTGGTCCGCCCTCGCTTCGTTTCGGAGTAGACTATTGTTTCTAATATAAAGCCTATGACATTCCCAATTAACGTGATAACGTGCCTTTCAATTAGTAAGTCAGATTATTATTTCTATTAGGATATCATCATGAGCCTATTACGGTTCGCTGGGACAATACACTTCTGCAAAAATCTTTGAAATTTGATCTTTATTTCAATGTAATATGATCATCTCTTACAAAAAAATGAAAAGTAGTTTGTTTGTAGTTATAATTTTTATTTTTTAAGCATGTAACTGCTTGATGTTTAAATCTAAAGAAAATATAACTACAAAAAAATCCACGCGGACCAGGCAGCAGACGGGACTCGAACCCGCACCCTTCGCTATCCGGGCGAATGCACTGACCAATTACGCTACTGCGGCCCTGACGGCCGCGTCGAAATTCCTCTAGCCATTCTGCTGCAAGGCCACCTGTGCGCGTGGATTTTTTTCTTATTTATTTTACAAAAATACATAAATAAAGATATGCCTAACACTATTAAGAAATATGATATGAAATCACCAGTGATAGTTTGAGCAAAGTAACGTGGAAACAAAAAAAATATTCATTAACAGACGTTAACACAATAGAAAAATTATACACACTATACAAAAAAATATGGAAGACAATACTATAATAGGGAAGATGCAATATTTTTATTTTTGTTTTCATTTTAAAGAATTCCATGTAGAATAAACCACAGATATATTAAAAAATTAAAACATTGTAATTTATCGGAAAAACTGCGGTTTTAAATTGACAATTTAAATTTTCGCGCGAAAACGAACCTATGTTTGCGATGACGTCACTCCTGTCTGTCACTGGTCGTACTTGTTCGTTGCTGGCTTTAAATTTTCATACTTTTGCATATTTTTTCGAATTTCGAAATATTTTTTTGAAAATTTTAAACTGGACTATCCATCAACATCATGTGATCATAACAATACCACTAATAAACCGAAAAAAGCCGTGTTGACTCATGTTATGTGCCAATATCTTCAACAAAGTTCCCAAATAAATTGTTTTTGACTGGAACTTCTGACCCAAAACTGAAAAGAAAGTGGTTTCAAGCTGCGAAGAGAAATGACAATTATTCTCCAAAGACCATTATTCGATGCTGAGAAGATCACTTTGACGTAAGTCGGCGAATAAACTTGTTATATGCTTAATTAATCTGCTTGTACGTAAAAACGCATTAGTAACCTACCTAATACTTACAAAACCTGTCTATAACATATTTTTAATTTTACAGTTGGAGAATGACGTCGAAAATTAGATAAAGTTTAAAATGTGTGGCACAATCTTCACATTGGCAGGACTGAACCAAGCTTTGCGTTTCATTTAAAATGATAAGTAGGGCCATGAAAACGAATTAGTAGTCGCTTAAGCGGAAATCACTAGGCCTGCCATACACTTCTAGTCCAACAAATATCATATCATACGCTAAATAGTAGGTGACATTGGTTCAAAAAACACTGAAATTTACGTCGCTTCACGGCTTCACCGCTATGCGCTATACGCGTCGTTTAATGCTTAATAAACAGATTGACGCAAAAAAAGGTGATTACAATCTATATACATACTTATAATAAAATGGTAGGAAAGTCAAAACTGTACATTGAATATTTTTTTAAAAGAATACTTGGGGCGTGATCTACAATCGATACCAAAGCCAAAAATATAGTTTTTAGAATTTTTGTCTGTTTGTTTGTATCTACTTCAAATTTGACACGAATATTATTAAGTCGGGTCAACATATCGGCTACATATTATCACGCTATCACCTACGGGGAACGACCAGTGAACCTTTATTTCTAACTAACTTCACGCGTACGAAGTCGCGGGAGGCCGCTAGTGTTACATAAACCTCATTTTCGACCAAAGGTTAAGCGATTTTGCTTTTCCACTGTCAGTATGATTCTAAACTAAGGAAATATATTTATTTTCAGGTTCTGGCACCACAAGGCCAAGATGCTATTGGTGAAGATATGCGAGCATTCGCCGATCAACTACGTCCATTGGTTCAACTTGATAAAATAGACTATAAACGGCTCGGTCACATGGCCGTAACATAGCCTTTATTCTTAACTTAGGCTGTGTTCATATTGCAATATTTTTATGATATGAAGACATCCTTAGTTTATACAGAATCTACGTAAGTGAATTATGATTGGTTTTACCTATAAGAAATACGTATTTAAATTATGTGTGTGTGTATAAATAATAACAATAGTAATTAATTTATCATATTGTATTGATACTAGTGATATTAGGGAGTACGATATGTTGGTTCCCCAAATAACGCTTACTGTAATTATTATTTGGAATGATAATTTTGTACAACACAAATAATAAAGAATGCACATAACTATTCCATAAATTTTCTTTAATTTTACAAGTTTTGTAGGTGCCTTATTTCCGTAGTATGATATTTTGTTCAATAGTTGACAAAGTCGGGATTCTTCTTGGAGTGTTTTACTATAATGTGATCTTCTCCATAATCTACGTCTTCATATTTATGTCCATGCACGTAGCCAAAGTTACCGAAATAAATGCAATGTTCATATTTCATTGGGACAAAATCTGAAAAGAAAGTTATGATGTTTAATCTTATCTCCAAATATTTTAAACTAGTGGTCCGCCCTCGCTTCGTTTCGGAGTAGACTATTGTTTCTAATATAAAGCCTATGACATTCCCAATTAACGTGATAACGTGCCTTTCAATTAGTAAGTCAGATTATTATTTCTATTAGGATATCATCATGAGCCTATTACGGTTCGCTGGGACAATACACTTCTGCAAAAATCTTTGAAATTTGATCTTTATTTCAATGTAATATGATCATCTCTTACAAAAAAATGAAAAGTAGTTTGTTTGTAGTTATAATTTTTATTTTTTAAGCATGTAACTGCTTGATGTTTAAATCTAAAGAAAATATAACTACAAAAAAATCCACGCGGACCAGGCAGCAGACGGGACTCGAACCCGCACCCTTCGCTATCCGGGCGAATGCACTGACCAATTACGCTACTGCGGCCCTGACGGCCGCGTCGAAATTCCTCTAGCCATTCTGCTGCAAGGCCACCTGTGCGCGTGGATTTTTTTCTTATTTATTTTACAAAAATACATAAATAAAGATATGCCTAACACTATTAAGAAATATGATATGAAATCACCAGTGATAGTTTGAGCAAAGTAACGTGGAAACAAAAAAAATATTCATTAACAGACGTTAACACAATAGAAAAATTATACACACTATACAAAAAAATATGGAAGACAATACTATAATAGGGAAGATGCAATATTTTTATTTTTGTTTTCATTTTAAAGAATTCCATGTAGAATAAACCACAGATATATTAAAAAATTAAAACATTGTAATTTATCGGAAAAACTGCGGTTTTAAATTGACAATTTAAATTTTCGCGCGAAAACGAACCTATGTTTGCGATGACGTCACTCCTGTCTGTCACTGGTCGTACTTGTTCGTTGCTGGCTTTAAATTTTCATACTTTTGCATATTTTTTCGAATTTCGAAATATTTTTTTGAAAATTTTAAACTGGACTATCCATCAACATCATGTGATCATAACAATACCACTAATAAACCGAAAAAAGCCGTGTTGACTCATGTTATGTGCCAATATCTTCAACAAAGTTCCCAAATAAATTGTTTTTGACTGGAACTTCTGACCCAAAACTGAAAAGAAAGTGGTTTCAAGCTGCGAAGAGAAATGACAATTATTCTCCAAAGACCATTATTCGATGCTGAGAAGATCACTTTGACGTAAGTCGGCGAATAAACTTGTTATATGCTTAATTAATCTGCTTGTACGTAAAAACGCATTAGTAACCTACCTAATACTTACAAAACCTGTCTATAACATATTTTTAATTTTACAGTTGGAGAATGACGTCGAAAATTAGATAAAGTTTAAAATGTGTGGCACAATCTTCACATTGGCAGGACTGAACCAAGCTTTGCGTTTCATTTAAAATAACTTTAACACGATAACCTTCTTTACGTTCTTTATGCTCCGGAGAACTCGACCTTTTACTGTACATAATTCTCCATCCCTTTTAATTTGGACATAGCCGATTGCATTATCGCCGTAAGATTTGTAGAAGCCGCTGAATAAAATACGAAGTTTAACAACTACGATTTTTACAATAGTAATTTAGTACCGTAGTAATTTAGTCCCTTTCATTTCTACACTTAAAAACTCTGCACTTTGGACAAAAAAAGTTATAACCATGTCAACGCTAACTCTTGGTAAATTCTGGAGTCTGCTTTGATAAACGCAACTTCCATTTTTATTAAATGTAAAAAACGCAATAAATATTCCCATAAAATAATATTTACTTTAACAACCATAATCTCAAAGAAGTTGTCATAACAGGAGTGACGTCACTAAACGCTGATTGGTGTT